AACCACTGTGTACTTCCACAGTGACCACTCTCAGAACAAGCCAGGCTTTAAGCTGGAATACCAAGGTAAGGAGGCCCCTGAACAAGCAGCAATGGGACAATCCTGTCCCCAGGTGCTAATGATAAGGGTGAGGCGGGGAGGGTAGAAGGCAGTGTCTGCTCTTCTGTTGAATTAATTCCGTGAGGACTTAATCCAAATGAGTGGAAAGGTGTTACATGAAGGCCATGCTTAATCCTAATAACTGGGATCTGTTCACCCTGACTTATGCCTACGGCAAATAGCAAATGTTCCTCGAGTGCTTTGTGACAGTGAAATGCCTTTGAATTAATTCCAGACAGATTCACTTAGATCTTGGCGCTCTCGACTGTCATGTGCAAAGAGAGGAGCCCTTAGCAGCCATGGCTTTGCGCTGGTATTTTGCAACTGCTTTTCAGTCTTAGTTGCTACTAGGTCCTGTGTGGGCATTTCCAGGCCCTTTCCTTCTTTTTTAAGCTCTAATGCACCCTAGCCTTTTGCTGAGGCAGGCTAGCGGAGGGGAGGAGGTTACTTACTAGAAAATAGCCAAATAATGTAACGGTGGGGCTGGCACAGAAACCTGAAGTGGAAGCAGAGAAATAAATTGTTACTAAGTTCGAAAGTGCCTTCAGTACATTTTTTGAGACGATGGGGGAATGGAAGTGCCTGCATTCATGTCTAACTTGAGTCCTCAGAGAACAACCCAGTTATGAATGTTGTCCTCTGGGCAGTAACTGCCTCAGTCTCTGGTGCCAGCCTAGCAAGACCCTGTAAGTGCTTCTTTTACTGGATTTGCTGCTCTTTGAAGGTGCTGGATTGACAGTCCTGGCTAAGCAGCTTCCCTCTGCTTGTCCCCCTGCAGCACACAACATGTGAACGTGCTGCGTCCCTCACTTGTGAGAGGTGGAGAGGTCTCTTGACCTCCTGGTTCCCCAGCTTTTGCTGAGACACTGGCTTATTACTGCAGCATGCTGGCAGCTTCATTGGAAGGAGCCTGAGATTTAAAAGACAGGGAAGCTGAAACACATATAGGAGCAAACCAGCTGTTTCTTGTCAGAGCCTGGGGGAATGATGAGTATCCAGCTAGCAGTGTGGCTGCGTGAGTCTTTGTGCTGCTGGCAGAGGACGTGAACTTTCAGCCCCGCATGATCCACAGCCCTGCCTTGACTAATGTCTTTACAAAACCCTTTAGTCTTCCCTGTCCACCTGTCCCTGGCACATGGGAGTGTAAAGGGGCAAGGGATCCCAAGGGGAGATTGTGTTCTTCATAGCGAAGACAAGTAGGACAGACTTTGTGTGGCAGCTAGGAGCCAAGCAATCCAACTACTGCACAGGAGAGAGATCTGAGGAGTGGGAAGGATGGAGCGTGTATCTCCATCCATGTGATACAGCTGAGGGCTGGCAAAGGGCTGACTCCCCAGAAATAGCAATAAAAGCCGCTACTCATACTTAATTGAAAACATTAATTTTGCCTTGGCTGTCCTGTTCGTGCACCATATAATTCATGCACTACTGCACAATTTAGGAAGCAATGTGCTCTGTGAGGCACTCTGGGTAATCTCATGGAAATTGCTATGCAAATTAGCTGTAGCAAGGCTGACCAATAATTTATAATGCCAGGTGGAGCATGTTAGCCAATTGATTTGCATTTGTCATCAGGACTGTCCACATTTTGTTGAAAAACAACACAGATTTCCCAATTAGAAGTGAGCTCTGGAGTGACTCTGAACACAGGCTTCCGAGAGACTCCAAAAGACCAAGGTGGATGCTAGTGTTCATGACTGAGGCTGCCACAAAGTGGCAGCAGATTTTTCCTCTCCCTTGATGAAGATGTGTGCCTGGTTCATTAAAGTTTATCTCCTTCAGTTAAGTCGTCATGTGAGGGGGAAGTAGCCAAACAGCATGGTGAGTGTACTGTGCCTGTTTTTATGAGAAAACGTGAAATATGAAACGTTCCTCCTTACTCTTTTTTTCAGCCTATGGCCCTGACCCTGAGCCTTTTGCAAATGGTGTCGTAAGAGGAGCCGGTTACAACGTTGGCCAGTCCATCTCTTTTGAGTGTCTTCCTGGATACCAGCTGATTGGTCACCCTGTCCTCACATGTCAGCATGGCACCAACAGGAACTGGGACCACCCATTGCCCAGGTGTGAAGGTATGGCTTTTGGGTCACGCAGAGAGCAGCCAGACTGGCATTTCTGGGGGGGAGGAAAGGATTCAGCTCTCCATTCTGGCCTCCTTTTGAGTTACCATTTTGTGAACGGGTTAAAAGTTTGTCTGGAAACAAAGGCATTGCTGGAGGCAGGCTGGAGATGAGCCCTTTGAGTAAAGCTTCAGCCCCTGAGGTGTTGAAACGTGTTAGACTCAGTGGGGTTGGTGTTCACCACTTTTCAGTCTAGTCAAAGGGAACAATGTGAACAGTTCAGAACCCAGGTTCATTTTTTGAGGTGGAGTGCTTGAATCTCCTGTTACGAGTGAGGACTATCTCTTGCTCTCAGTCCCCTTGCTGATGTCAGTGGGAATTGTGCTGAAAGAATGAAGCAGTACAAGGCCAGAACAATAACAATTGTCTGCTTTATTTCTTCAACAGTGTTCAGCCTCCATTGATTTAGCATTTTTAAGTAGCTGACCAAAGAGCTCTCCTCCTTCCCTGAGGCCCTAGAGGGCCTTGCAGGTACTAATTCTCTAGCTGATCCAATTTCCCCATGCTAGGGGTCAATATTGACTTTCTTTATAGATAGGTGGGGAAACACTGAATCACAAACAGTAAGATGGGTTTCCCAAGCTTGTTCAGGAACACAGTGGCAGACAAAAAACTCAAATCGAGACTACACCACTTCTCACCCCCCATGTTTCTTTGGGGAGCACACAAACTGTATCACAAATCTTGTCTGCGAGCTCTTCACAAATGTGTTTCCTGGAGAGCTCTCCCTGCTCTCTTGCATGGCAACTATGGCATCACTCTTCCATGCTTATGCTAAAAAAAAAAAAAAATCAACTGTGTTGATTTATTGGCCCTGTGAAATGACTGCTAACGCTTCATCAGGTTCACAGCTCACAGAGTCAGCCTGCTCTTCCTGGTTTTCTTTCTCGTTTTTTACTTTCCCCCTTTCACCAGCCTGCTATTTCATGCTGACATTGAGCATGATTAGAACAGTGTTTTATTGTCCAAAGTAAGGTTTTTGCCTTTTAGCAATTCAAACAACTGTCAAAATCAAAACTTTTGTGGTGAGCCAGTGTACCTTAATAATGAGGTAGAGAAAAGAAGCTTTGATCACCTTTGCGCTTTGTGTGCACAGCCTCTCCTGCTGGGCTGCAGTGCACTTAATAGTCCCTGCCATGCCGGATCCCAGGTAAAAGACCCTTGCAGCTGTAGGTACTCATAGTGTGGGAGGACTCTGTTCCTGTCATCTCTCTTCAGTGTGGCAAAGATGGCATCTTCAAAATGGTCTAGATAGTTCTTCAGTTACCTTGAACAGGATCTCCTTTCTGAAGGCTGTGTGCGTTATGATGACCCCATAGCGCTGGAGAGTGGATCTATCTCCTAGACATCAAAGCTGAAATGTCCAGATTCTCTTTTCCAGACTCCCAACAGGGCCTGGTTCAGCCTTTCGTCCTTTGGACCAGTGGATTGAGGTTTTGTGTGGTTCACTTCAGAAGAGTCTTTCATATGAACCCTTAAGAATTTCAAGGCTGCTTACTGAAGATTTCCTGCTACACCTCCTCTGAGCACAGGCCTTTATCCCAGCCTCCCCTACAGCACTTGGTTTGAAAGAGCTGTGGGAGAGAGAGGGAGGTGTGATATTGTTCCTCTTTTTTAAGTCCTAACTCCTTGAACTCCAGAGAACACAAAATGCAAAGAACTGGATCATCAGCCGCTCTTTAACTGACTCCAGTGGTGCAACAGGTGTGCACGAGCTGAGAAACCACCTGCTTGCTGAGTGCTCAGCCCACTAGACGCTGAGTGCTCCTGGTAAGGGTTAGTGTGGTGGAGGTGGCAGGATTATGCTCTTGTTTACCTCGGACATCAGCTTTGCCGGCTACAAGCATCCAGTCCTTCCTTCTTCACTGTGTTTCTTTAAGTAGCTGGCATGTTCTGCAGCATTTCTGGTAGCACGGAGGTGTGAAGGGTTAGGTACGTTTTGGAGCATTTGCTTTTTCTTCTCTGACTGCGCATCCGCAGTTAGTTGTTAGTTGAGTGAGTTAGTTGAGCTGTTAGTGCTGTTAAAGTCATTGTAGAACTTTCCTTTTCTGGCTGTTCCCTTAAATGCAGCCAAGCTGGGTGGTCCATTTTTGCCCAGCTGCAAGCAGTGAGGACTTGCTGTCTTAAGCTAACCGCCTCACCTTTCCCCTGCAGGGCAAAGCTTAAACCTCTTCTAATAAAAAGAGAAGTTGTAATTCTAAAGTAAGTATATAGAGGCCAAAGTTTCCAGCACCTCTTCAAGGAGTTTTCTCAGAGATCAGCAGGCTGCCTGCTGCTTAGCAGGGCAGAAAGGAACCAGGCCCCCAGGTTCCTTGGAAAATGAATGTATGGATTTATATAAATACACATGTTTTTCTCAGCTTGACAGACCGTGCGAGTAAGCAGAGCAGAACTAGGCAGTAAATATGTTGGGCCTGGCTCTAACCTCATGCCTGGCACGTCAAGTCAGGTCCAGCGTAGCAAAAGTCTGTGGAGCTACTCCTGTGCAAAAAAGCACAGGCGCAGAAGTGGGATCTGACCCGCAATATGCAGAAGGTATGAATGATGCTGCACGGATGGGTGCAGATAGCGCAGTAAGCTTGGATCTGGAAGCTTTATTGCTATATTAGCATAGTACTGAGCCTGAATTAATAAGCCGTGCTGGGAGGGGGAATGTATTAACCTAGACCTAGGACTGGGTTAATACAGCTACCTAGCTTCTAGAAGCAGGCTAGCGCAGATAGAGGACACTACGTACGTTTCCCCATGTGCCGCCTACCTTCAATATTGCTGCAGGTTGCCTGCGGCACCCTGCAAATGTTATCATCATTCTCACTGAACTTCCATGCCGGGGAGGCCCAGAAGCTGATGCTTGTACCTGTGACACTTGGACCTGGAGACCGGCTGCAGCCCTTCTCCATTACCTTCAGTAGGATGTTGTCTTTCTGTCCCTGTCTTTGCTGCCTAGGCCGTTGCAAATTAAAGAGAGACAATTTTAAAGTTCATGTAGACCTGTAAAATACCTAGTGCAATAGAACTGTCTTCTTGATTAATGAATTGGATGCTGTCATACAAATAAATCGTCTTTCCCCCCCTTGCTCAGATGCACTCTGTGAAAAGCCAGCTGCTCTGTGAGTCTGGTCCAGGCCATGCTGTATGAACAAGTGGATGGATTTGCCCACTGGTGTGATCTGGTCAGGAGCTGTATTTTCTGTGCATGGGTGCAAACAGCTGGTGTAGCCCAAATACTCTCATTAGGGCATAAGATGGAGTTTATTCATGCACCTGGCTATCAACATCCATACAAAAAGCCTTCATAGTCTCCTTTCAGCTCTGAAGCACGTAACAAGTTTATTGAAATGGAATTAAGTTGAAAAGGTTAGATGTAGTTGTGACAGATCTGAATAGTTCAAGGCAAGCTAGACCAAGCTTTTGGGTTTGGATCCACCTGTATGCAGAATTGCTATCTTTTTTTAATCCAGCCCAGCTCTTAAATCACTGCATTTGCTGGCAACAATTCCTCCGTGTTACTCTGCTCCCTGCACATCATTCAGGTTTTCTGGCAGCAGTTCAGCCCAATGCCGTGCAAAGGGATTGGAGCTGAACTCTTCCTTTAGTGGTTAGGCAGCCAGCTCTGCCTCTAACTCGGAGGACAGCACTTGGGCCCCTGCTGAGGAACTGAGCGGGCTGAGGGGTTGGCAGGGATTTCAGCCTTGCTCAACTGAAGGGTGGAGGGGCAAGGAAGAGCAAATGGGACTTACTCTTTTGGAGCACGTTTCTTCATTAGATTTGTTTTTCTGTTTGCTGATTACCTGCAGTGCCTTGCGGAGGGAACGTCACCACCCAGAATGGTACGGTTTACTCTCCTGGCTTCCCCAACCAGTATCCCAATTCCCAGGACTGCACTTGGCTCCTTACAGTGCCGGTGGGATATGGGATCCATCTCAACTTCACTCTGCTGCAAACAGAGCCCTACAATGATTTCATCACTATTTGGTAGGTACAGCAAAGATGTGAGGACTGACCAGAGTTGAGTTTTGGCTACCAAGGCTCCATTTCAGCAAAACACTCTTACAGCTCAATAGAGCACCCTTTGCTGCGGTGCAGGGGTGGTGCTGAGTTTGAGAGGGGTCTCACTGGGGAGATAAAGGGAGAGGAATTGGGAATTTTTCCAGCTCCTAGTGTCTGGTAGGACCTACAGATAAAGGGCCACGTGCTGCAAGGACCTATCAACACGGACAAGGTGATTGTCTTCAAACGTAGTTAATGTTGCACTCCTGAAAAATACGGGCAGGGACTGCAAAGAAAAGGTCAGTGAAGGGAATGACCTTCACTGGCCTTTTAAAGCAAGTGGTGGAAATCTCATCCTTTGGGTCTAGAAGGGAATCTGTACCTGAACGCTTAGCTTTTGTGGTGCCTTTGCTGCTAACTTCACTGGTGTCATGCAGATCACAGGGAGCAGTTCCACCCTTGGTTGTATACCAGAACCTCTAAACCTTCTAGGTCTTTCTTACCATTATTTTCTGTGATCATCAGCTGTTAAAAATGAAACACATCAAACCCCTGCAATGCCTGGGATCAGCAGTCACTGTCCCACCGGCATCAGTTTGGTCCAGTTACCATGGCTGGGGGATGAGCTGCCAATGGGGGAACGCAGATCGGCATCCCAGCTGCAGCGGGATATTGTTCGGATGCAGAGCCCTGCTCCTCATTCTGGAGTCTTTCATCAGCTTGTCCCTTTATCTCTGAAACACTGCTGAATGGAATAAGGGAACGTCTCTTGGGAAGCATAAGGGGCTTTACAGAGGAGACTTTATGAATGGTAAAGGGGGTCTTTATCTCAAGCTGAATTTAGTTGAAATGAATCTTATTCGGACTTGCATAGGAATTGCTTTTCACTTCTGATTTCTCCAACAGTCGTTTTCTGGGGCTCGTTTTTTTTTTTTTTTCTTCCCCCGTTTGCAAAATCACTCTACATATAGATATCTGTCTATGGATAGAGGCTAAATGAAGGAAAAAACATGAGTAAATCATTTACGTTTGCCAGTGTCCTCTTTTAGCTTTTCTCTTGCGATCGGAGATATGTAGCCATACAATCAAACCTGATATCACAGAATGCAAAGGCAGCGCTAGTATTATGTTAAGCATAGGGCCTGGCCTTGGATGATTTAAAATGGGTGCAGCTCTGCTAAGGTTAATGAAATGGCACTGATTTTTCATATACTGAGGACTTTACCCCGGGCGTCTTACAGGCTAGGATCTTCCTGTCCAGTCTGGAGAAGGGAATGAAAACTATGCAGACAGGGAGTGGAACTCCTTTAGAAAACTGGCTCTAATTCTGCATGTTCTGAGGATAAAAGTGAAGTTTGTGTCTGCAGTTGTCTGTTGGGCCAGCACTTCACTGCCAGGAGAGATTCCCCACATTATAATAGTGGGGGAGAGGGGCTGGGGGTCCAGATTAGCTACCTAGAGAGCTGCTGGGACTCTAATATAGATGTGGAAAAATGAGGAAGGAGTAGGAAGAACAGAAAGGAGTTTCTGTGCGTACAGTGTAGGGGGTTGTTTGTTGCCTGGGATTGAAGATGTGTATTAACGCTCTTTTCTGGTGTTTCCGACCTGTGATTTTAGGGATGGTCCACAGCAAACATCCCCACAGCTTGGTGTATTCACTGGCAGCTCTGCTACGAAATCAGCCCAAAGCTCTTCCAATCAGGTCCTGATGAAATTCCACAGTGATGCAGCCAATGGAGGGATTTTTGCCGTTTATTTCTATGGTCTGTATTTCTTACTGAACAATGCACGCTTTATACCTTCCTACTGCATGTGGAGGGGACATGGATCGATTGTGGCTTGTTGTGGGGAGGACTAGTTCTGGGGAAGAGATGGTGTTTAAAAAAAAAAAATCACGCTTTAACCTGAAGCCTCTTACAAAGGGCCTGACTGTCACAGATTTGAGATTGGAGGTCTCTTATGTGATGGAGTGCTGGCACGTGGTCATACAATGTGTGCAGATGTGGAAATCTGTCTGTAATGTTGTGATAGTTCAACCACAGAGCAAGTTCCTGCAAACTAATAGTCATGGTGATGCTACGCCTGTCTCTCAAGGTGGTGCCTGTCAATACCATCCTCTCCATGGCAGATTCCATTATGGATAGCTCTGCTTTGTTTACCTAAAGCTCTCCTTCCTGCAGTTTTGGCGGGATACGGTATTGTCCCATCAAAGCTGTGCTAAACCGATTGGGTGGTCTTGCTGTCCTCTTTTAAGTGACATCCGTGTTCCAGCTGAGAGGTGACTTCATTTCTCTAGTGAGCAAACTGATTCTTGTAAATCCCTAAATTATTTGGGGATTCTTTAGGGTGAGTGTAGCTCATGCTAGAGAAATGTTAGGTATTACATAGAAATAAGAGCATTTCTTTCCACTACTAAACAAGGGCCCAACTCTAAACTGGATTAGCTAACAAGTTCCTATGGCAGTACTGGGATTTTGGAAAGTGAATGGAGACCTCCTCTTGCTTCAGTAATTTGCTTGCAACAACTTCAGCGAAGTCTAACATCAGTTGCACACAGAATCTGTGCAGAATGTCTTAGCTTATGTTCAGTTCCGAAAGGCAAGTATAGATAGGCTAAATTTAAAGAATGTTTGCTAGGCTTCTGAGGGAATTGGTTTACTGCTGCAAAACACTGTAAGATTTATATTACTAGACAATGGTGCATATATAACGGTTATGCAAAAAATTATGGTTTAGACAGTTTGGCTCGGAAATGAGCAGTACATAAACACTGCTGCAGCTCAGCGAATGCTTCCTTTTTGTAATATGAATTACGTGCTATCATTGCTGTGGTTAGAGCCTATTAGCATATGTTGCTGTTCTCTAATCTTGGGAAGGCTTTATAGGGAGGTTTCTTTTGCTAGTGGTTTGTACGGGGTATAATAACGACCTGTAGGCATTCGAGGCATGAGTCATTTGTAACCTGCTAACCAGGTGGGCACTCTAGCTAAACTGCTCAGCCTCCTGCTG